TACACCCAAAAAATACACACACGTCAAGTAAAATCAATTAGCTCCACTAAAAACTTAAAAATGTTTTTAGAAATTAAACGTTTTCGTTAATTTTATATTTTATGAAATTTCATAAAAATTGTTGCAATGTAGAATATTTATAGCAAATATTTTTCATTTTTTATTACAAAAATATAAATATTGTTCAATATTCAAAAAAAGAAAAATTGAATTTTAAATAAGCTATTAGCTCTATTCCTTTTAAAGTTCTGTAACAACATAATATTATTGATAATACATAAGTCTTAATTATATTATAACAATTAATTTAAGTGTAACTTTCATTAATTATATTAATATTATATTTTTAGGGTTATGTTCATAAAATACTATTGGGAATATGTATAGTTAGTAGTATGGCAACTGTCATAACAATCATAATTTATTGCATTTATGCAAGTAATATGTATGATTTTGTAAGTATTTATTGATACGAATAAGTATTTACTAATATAGTAGGTAAATATGTRTATTGTAGGTATATGTATGACGTATGTAATGTTATTTCACGTTTTTTGAAATAATTTTTAATAAAATAAACAAAACATCAACATTGAAGAAAAAAGATTGATGCTGTATAATTTCATCTTTATAATTTTTTATTTAAYACAAAAAAATTGTTTTATAGGTAATAATTATGTAAAATAAATATTTTCATGTTTATATACGTTATGCATCGATACATTTTTTTATATAACAAGTGTTTTCTGCTTAAAGAATCACCGTGTAATCTTTATACACCTATATATAATATTATACATACATACAACTATATATTTACTTTAACTTCCTAGCACGATTCTATATTGATCAAACTTTTTGAACATCGATCATGTTATTCTCGAAACAAATCATTTAAACATCTTGTTTCAATAATGATGACTAGAGCTACAATTCCATTAGAATTTAAAGCTGTTTCCATTTTCACCATAAACTTAAATCTGCTTGTCAAAGTAAGTGTATTCTTAATATAAATATATTATAAATATTATAACTTATAATCAACGTTTRATAAATATATTATCAACATACATAGTTTGTTTGGAATGTTTGGATTATATAACATTTCTCAGTTTTTTCGGAAAATACAAATGAGTATGTACTATAACAGACATMAATTTGTGTTTATTTCAGATCTTAAAATTTACATATACGTTGTTTAATGTGTTATTAACTTCAATGAATCACCAATTCATAGAAACTATAAAATGAAAACAAATTATACACTAYCTACGTAAGTGATTAGCAATTATGAATTATTATTAGAGAAAAACTTTTGTTTATACCTAATTCAGAAATTTTTTTTTTAAACAAAATTTGTTATTTATGTTTTTATTTTATTATCGTCGGTTAAATGAATATTGTTACTAGTAGTTTTATTTATTTCATATCTTAAAATGTCTCTTTTACTGTATTAAACACCACGCTACCATCATTCATCAATAAAACGTCACAAWGCAAATGTAGTACTTGAAATATTTTTAGAGGGCAAATTTATKAGCGCGATACCTAACAAAATATTTCAAGTGAATATATTTTATATTTTTCTTACTCAAATACATATTTATACACAACAGTGACACCCACTGAAAATCATGACGTAATTTAAGCGTTTAGTTTCTCAACTTACTCGTCCGATAGCAGAAACTTGTCACCGTCCGAGTCCACACACTTGCGTTTGATGCTAAAGCAGTTGGCCTGCACAACGATCTACTTCCGGATACCAGACAGGAACCACACGCCATCTCTTATGATATAAATTGAAACTTAATCTGCATTATATTGTTTTATTTCTAGATCACACAAAAYAAACTGTAAATATTATTAAAAATGATTATAATATTAAAATTATGCATAAAAATAAGTCGATTGGTGAGACAATGAGATATGAACGACGAGTGTTATTTACTGATGMATTGTTATTACAATATTATTGAAAATACATCATAATAGGTAGATAATTTAAAGAACTCCATCTACTTTAAAGTAAGTATCGAGAGTATGTCTTCATTGAGTTGATCATGGGCGTGTTACATACGAATGCAATGATAAACCATTGCAATATATTGCATATTTGCATGCACGAACAACGATTCTAAACGCACGTCAGCCTATTCTTCTGAGAACTTTTTTAAATTAATTTATAACGCAATTATAGTAATACGATGGATTGGACAAAAATTTCTGCTCATATRTAAGTATTTTATAATGATTAATGATTATTATAATTCTATTTCATAAAAAATAACTACCTGTTATTAACTTATAAGTCAATAACAGCGTCGCTTAAAAATGATGTAAATAGATTTATGTTAGAAATAGTTTCGTGACATTATTTACACGAGAGTTGCTGGTTCAACAGTATATACATACGAAAATGTTTGTTTTAAAACTCAACTATGTATAATGGGTTGAGGGATACATGAATAACTATTATGTACCGTACATCACTTCACTTTCTGRATGGTCACTGRCCACTCATCCAAAAACAAACAATCATCGATGGAGCAGCCTAAAAACAGACAAACAGTAAAAAACGGTTTCCAAGTTATGACGTATATCATAAAAAAGGAATAMAAATGTTAAGTTAACAATTTTAATGGTGGTACCAACAACAGTCACACTTGATGACTTTGAGCTAAAAGCCGCAGTGGCTAGCCATTGATTCAAAGCCATATTCTTAAGTCTTATAGGTATTCAATTAAAATTTAATTTATCAAACTTTTTTACTCACAAACATTTTATATCATACATAAATCGAAACAAAATAATTAAAATAATTAAATAATTCATTTTAAATACCCATCTACAAATAACATTAACGAATCAAATTATTTTGACTTTCGTGTGTGAAAATACTAATACAAATAGTTTATGAAAAATACCATCTCTACTAAGAAAACATCTTCAAAGTTATAGATTAAAGTATTTTTCACAGAGCCATTTATCAGACAACATTGTCAACATTGTATAACCGATAACTGAGCTTAAAATCTAAATGAGTAACATACTATCATTACAAA